AGTTGTAAATTATGTAATGAGGGATATCATCGAATCGAAAATTGCAAAATATTTTTAGAAATGACAATAGAAAATAGGAGAAAGTATGTACAAGAAAATGGTCTTTGTTATAAATGTCTGATTTATGGACATCCGGTAAAAAAATGTTTCAGGAGAATTAGATGTAACATAGATCGATGTGGTGGTAAACACAATAGGCTTGTGCATATTGCAAGAGAATGCAGAGAGTCATCAGAAGGAAACACAGCACCTGTAGAAAATCAAGAGGTACAACAAACGAATTTCTGTGGGGTCTTGGAGAATAATTGCTCTGCACTTCTGAAGATTGTCAAAGTAAGAATATCTGGACCGAGTGAGTCTGCAGATACATTCGCCTTGTTGGATGAGGGATCAACTGTAACGCTGATAGACTCCAGTATTGCTGAAATAGTTGGATTGGATGGGCCAATTTCACCAATATGTCTACAGTGGACAAATCAAGTGACCCATGATGAAGAATCTTCGAGAGCAGTGGATTTTGAAATATGTGGAATTACCGAAAATAAGAAATATACAGTAAGACGAGCAAGAACGGTAAGAAATTTAAATTTACCTAAACAAATGATTGACATCGACTACATTTGTAAGAAGTACGAGTACATCGATCGTTCAATTCTGAAATTAATTCAATTTTCTAATCCGAAAATTCTTATTGGGCAAGACAACATCAGTATAATAGCTTCTCAGAATATGATTCAGCCAGAATTCAATCAACTTGCTCTGAGTAAAACCAAGTTAGGATGGGTCGTTCATGGACCTTATTCAAATTCAGAAGTCTTGAATCATAGCATAAATCTTTGTCAACATGATGATGCATATTTACAGAAATTAATCGAGGATAATTTCAGAATTGAGAATAACGACATTTTACAAAATACTGAATATTCAAGGGACGATCAGAGAGCAGTTAATATATTTCAAAACACAATAAAAAGGTGCGGAGATCATTTTGAAATTGGTCTACCATGGAAAAATGAATCTGTGATCCTACCTGAAAGCAAAAAATTAGCTTACAGTAGATTGATGTGCATGGAGAGAAAAATGGATAGGGATTCAGATTTCGCTAAGCAGTATTGTGAGGTTATAAGGCAATACGAATTGAAAGGATATGCAGAAAAGATATCCAAACATGAAGAAGAGATCGATAATGGTAAAATATGGTATTTGCCTCATTTTGCTGTCACTAATGTAAATAAACCAGGAAAAGTTCGACTGGTCTTCGATGCTGCAGCAAAAGTCAATGGGGTAAGTCTCAATGACTTCTTACTAAAGGGACCCGATTTTTATCCTTCACTTCTTGCAATTTTATGGCGATTCAGGGAAAAGAAATACGCGTTTTGTGGAGATATTAAAGAGATGTTCCACCAGGTGATCATCAGACAGGAGGATCGGAAATGTCAAAGGTTTTTATTCAGAGGTACCGATAGGGATCGAGATCCTGATATCTATGAAATGCGTGCTATGATTTTTGGTTCTATCTGTGCTCCATCTATTGCACAGTATGTGAAAAACTTTAATGCCATAGAATTCCAAGAAGAATATCCAGATATTATGCGAATCATGCAGAGTCAACACTATGTAGATGATTATCTAGATTGTAAGAATACAAGGGAAGAAGCGATTGAAACTATCAGATCGGTAATTAAAGTTCACGAAAGAGGGGGATTCAAAATGGTTAACTGGCTTTCTAATGATCCTGAAATCTTGAATTGTCTTCCTCCTGGCTATGATTCACAAAAAAATTCACTAAATCTTGATACGAACAAATTAGATAGGGTACTGGGGCTTTTTTGGAACTTATCTGAAGACACACTAGAATTTAACACAAAATTTCAAAAAATTCCAGAGGAATTGATGACTGGAGGAAAAATACCTACTAAACGTGAGATTTTAAAACTGGTTATGACAATTTTTGATCCAATAGGATTTCTCTCTCCACTGATAGCTACTGGAAGGCTCATAATGCAAGATTGTTGGATGGAAAAAATAGATTGGGATCAAAAGGTCAACGAGAATATCTTCAAGAAATGGAAGAAATGGAGTAATTCAATAAAAAAAATCGATAATCTCAAGATTCCTAGGCAGTATTTCCTTAATGCTACTGAAGAAGTACAATTGCACATATTTTGTGATGCTGGAGGTAAAGCATATTGTACAGTTGCATATCTTAGAGCGAAAATGAAGGACAATGTTGAAGTTTCTATGATTTCTTCTAAGTCTAGGTTAGGTCCTCTTAATAAAATTATGAGTATACCACGAATGGAACTGCAAGGAGCAGTTTTGGCATCTCGATTGGGGAAATCAATTGAGAAAGAGATATCTTTCAATATCAATGAAATATTTTGGTGGACTGATTCAACCATCGTTTTAAAATGGATTAGATCAGAGTCGAATCGATTGAAATCTTTTGAAGCTCACAGAATTCAGGAAATATTAGATACCACTAGGAAGGAAAATTGGAGATGGTTGCCATCGAAACTAAATCCAGCTGATATGGGAACCAAAGAAACATATGATTTCGATTTCTCTTTATGGCTGAAGGGACCACATTTTCTAAAGCAACATGAATCAACATGGCCAAATGAAGAAAGTATGGAGGAAACTCAACCTAATATTGAATATATTTATGTAACCAATATATCAGACGTCAATTTGCTACTACCAGATGAGAATCGATTTTCTAAATGGTTAAGATTGGTGAGAACAACCGCTTGGATGCTCAGATTCATTAATAATCTCAAAATGAAAATTCACTTAAAAGGAGAGTTACAACCCGAGGAGATAGCACAAGCTGAAAATTTATGGTGGAGGAAATTGCAAGCTAAACATTTTCCCGATGAAATATTGGCTTTGAAAGACAAGAAGAATGTACCGAAGACCTCAAAACTATTCGATTTGTCACCATTTCTGGATGAGAATATAGTACTGAGAATGAATAGTCGCATAAAGTATGCAGAAGTACCTTATGACAGTAAATATCCTATCATCCTACCTTCTGCAAAGGAAGATGTAACTGTGATGTTATTAGTGCAATATTATCATGAAATGGTATATCATACAGGACACGAAACGGTCATTAATAATATGAGAACAAAGTTTTGGATAATTGCTCTGAGACAAACAGTGAAAAAAGCGATCAGAAACTGTCAATATTGCAAAATAAAAAGAAGTAAACCAAAACCACCTGAGATGGCTCCTCTCCCTTCATTTAGACTCAAAAGCTTCACAAGACCATTCAGTTATACTGGAATCGACTACTTTGGACCACTCTTAGTAAAAGTCAGAAGATCGGTTGAAAAAAGATACGGGGTGCTCTTTACCTGTTTGAATACCAGAGCTGTGCACATTGAAGTATCTAATTCCTTGACTACCGATTCTGCAATAATGGCTATTCAGAGGTTCATTGGAAGAAGAGGAAACCCTTTAGAAATGCATTCGGACAACGGCACAAATTTTGTTGGAGCGGAAAGAGATATGAAGAAAAGTTTAGATGACTTAGATCAGAACAAAATAATCGGAAAACTATCTAAATTGAATATAAAATGGATCTTTAATTCACCAGCAGCACCACATACAGGAGGTGTCTGGGAACGACTGATCCAGTCCGTGAAAAAGGTGCTTTATATAATATTGAAAGAACAACACCCTTCCCACGAATTATTGTGTACACTATTGATTGAGACCGAAAGTATTGTGAATTCAAGACCGATCAGCTATATTTCTAGTGACGCAACTGACGAAATAGAGGCATTAACACCCTCACATTTCCTCATTGGAACATCTAATTCACAAAATTCCCCAGGAGTTTTCAAGGCTGGAGATTTATATGGCAGAAAACAATGGAGGATTTCGCAATGTTTAGCGGATAGATTCTGGCAAAGGTGGACGAAGGAATACCTACTGAGACTCCAAAAACGATCGAAATGGTACACTGTCAACGAGAATATGAAAGTCGGCGACATTGTAGCTGTAGCAGATAGCAACTCCCGAAACAAATGGAATATGGCAAGAATCCTAGAAGTATACCCAGGTCGTGATGGTCAAGTAAGAACAGTTAAACTGAAGACGAAGAATACCACGCTAATTCGGCCTGTGCACCAGTTATGTCGGTTGGAGGTTGGAGAATGTTAAGGACACTTGCATCAAGATTTATCTTTGAGATATGATGCCATGAAATAGTTGAATTTTGGATTGGAATGTTTTTTGACAGAAAAATAAATAATTTTTGAATTTGTCAAAATAAAGATTTAATTTCATTTTTTATGGTAAAAACTTGTTGAACCTAATAATAAATACCTTGGGAGGCTTCAACAATAACTTTTTTTCACATAGCTTAAAGTTGATCATCTACTGTTGAACTAAACAGCTAAGATTGAATCAGTAGGTATGTTCATTCTTGTCAATGATAAATCAGACGTGTAAGTTATACTAAGGACAAAAGGACGCAAATGTTGAATAGGTACCGAAGTATTGAAGGCACATCCACATACTTTCCAATCATCTGATAAGCCTAGTATGTCTTAGTTTGGAGAGATGTGTCGTTTTCGCCTAGTAAATGATACGTGAACTGCATTCAAGCCCTCATCTATTTTTTGTTTCTATAGAATATGTAGAACGTTCCAAAAACCACTAGGAATGTAAGAGGAGCATGTGGATGAAATACTTAGATCAATATCTCATAATGGACGAATTATGCACTCAGGTCCTTCGTGCTTATGAGAGCAGTGTCGAATTCTCATTGGCAATATTTTGATTTCCTATCCACTGCTATCACTGAGGTATAATTATTTCGCGTTAGAAATTCGATATATCTATTTTCTCGACTATCCTAAATCATCTGCTGTTGCTTAATCGAAAAGGTCATTATTGCAAGACTGCGATAGCCCTGGATGAATTACGACCGAAGTAGGAAATGAACACGTGAATGTTGATTTGATTAGATATCTCTTATTGAATTGCAGGTTCTCGCGCTGTGGATGTGCGAAGAAAAGATGTGTGCACCAATAATGGCTGAATTGGAACAAGTGGATTTCCACCAATAGAAGTGAGTTATTTAGAATGACCTTCTTGGTTCTACGGGTAGATAATGATGGAAAGAAACAATTGAATCAAACTGGTCTGGAAAGTTTCTGAATTCGTTGGCAACAAGAATTTTCCGTCTGAAATCAAATATCAATAATGGGCTATATACGAATTTTAAGTAGAAATCAGAATGAAATATTATAGGAAGTTGAACTGACATGCCATAAGGTCTAAGTATATTTATGACAATGTAATTCGAGTTATACATCGATAACTTCAGTCAGTTTGACAGTTGAAATAATCCGACCGCGAAGCGGTAGGATTATTCTGTTGAACTGGACACGATCTGTATAGTTTTGCAGGAAGAAGATTTGTAATTATGCAGGAAGAAGAAAATAATCGAAGAATATATTATGATTCAGAAGAATCAAGTCTAAAATCTATAGACTTTGCATCCAGGATCGACTCGATCATGAGTCTATTTTTCTCTTTAGAGTACCTAACTAATTTTCCATCATGTTGACATTGACATCGAATATGGCTGCATCAAAAAAAGTTCTACATAGAGTATAGAGACTAATTTTATTTTGAAAACGTAGTATTAACATTTGTTTTTGATCCAACGAAATTAGTTTCGATGGTCTCAAGAAACTGTCTATCTCTCGTCTCAAAATAATAATGCCATCCCATTCAGTGCCATGAATGCAATGTTAGCATCTTTCAGTTGGTCAATCATTATTCTATGCACCATATATCTATTCCATATATTACTTTTTTTTTGCTTCCATATTGTATTCAGATTTTATTGGAAGCGAATACTTTTTATAAGAAGGAAGTTTGATTCATTGTTTGCAGTCCTGATAATTTTTCTGATTCCGATCTTTTGTATCTACTACAGAGAATTAGAAAAATTGAACCGATTGAACGCATAAACCTATTCGTACTTGTTACATTTTATCGCAAATAATCTTCTTTCACAGTTTCACGCTATATCCAAGAAGGAAAATAGTCTCATATCTGACTGTCAGTGCTTTATGGAGTGTACCTATTTCAATATGGAAAAATCAATGAAGGTAGACTTTGAGGAGTTCTATCTACTGACATATTGACAAATATCTAGAACGTATTTGTCATACCCAGAAACTCTAAATGTGCAGGAGCTCCTGAACAGTCGATCATGACTAAACCCAACCTGGACATGCCCCTTGGTTTAATAAATAGTTATTTATACACCGAGGTATTAAAAAATAACATCAGTAATATCCTTTTTACCAACTTTGACTGAGATTCTCAGTGCAGCTCAATAGCTTAGTTGTATTACATGTTTCATTTATCTTAGTCAGATGTGAGTTGTCTTAAGAACTTATTGAGACTATTTCTTTCCCCTTACCCCAACTGAGCTTGTAATTCATCTGGTGTTGTAGTGAGAAAAAGGTGAGACATGATTTCAGCTTTGAAGTTTCAGTCCCCAGGGTAAATCCTCTGAATACTCACTAATATTTTTATGCTCCTCATCAATTTCCTCAGCCATTTCACATTTTGGTTGAATTGTGTTGGGTTATATGTTTTCTCCCCTTGCCCTTCCTGACAGATAAAATCGTATTCTTTTTATTCAATCGGTCACTCAGATCCGCCTCACCCCCTTCTAACTCAATTGATCTCAGTAGTGAGAATGTAACAAGGTGAAAAGAATATTGCTATTATTACCCAGGGACCAAGATTATAGCCCGAGGCTTCAACCGAGGGGTATGAGGTCCGTGGTGATAATATCCTTTGCTACGAAGATGTATATTAAATCTACTTCACAATGAAAGCTTTTCTTTTCAATTCTAATTATTAAAATCTAGTAGCCATGAACAAAACAGCATTATGAAAAGTCGTTATTGATAAATACCGACTAAATTCGAGTGCCATAAATGCGAATCTCGCATCAGAACAGTGAATTTAGATTAATTATAACAGATGTGGCTATGTCTTTATTGTCTAGTGGTTCATAAAATGATGAAAACTACATTGGTTATAAAAACTTACTTCACACCTCGAAAAGGAGTTAATAATAGTTGGTTTTATAGCTAGTAGTGGAAAAACATAAGAGTGAGTAAGATATATGACAGATCCTCAATGCGTACGCTCATTTTGGTTATAATAAATTATGTCGGTGATTCTATCTGGAAAACAGTATCTGCTGTGAATAACATCTGACAGACAGTGGAAATTTTCCATTTCTCAGCCGTATTTTGAAAACCAAAATTGTTATCACAAATTTTTTCACAGTAACATTCAGCATCAAAAACAAGTATATCCTTATCTAAACGGCCTTGTATGAAGAAGAAATGAAAAACGATCTACATATTTACATCAATAATACCTCATTATACGTTTATTGACCATGTTATTGAATCTGTCAGGATGCTTTTTTATCCACAAGTGGGTTACTGTGATATTCAATACTACATTGGGAATCATAACAGTGTTGCCATGTCTTGTCTTATTTAGAAGTTTCTGCTACTAACTCTTAATTTTTAAACAGAATAGCCGGTTTGTTTTTAGATACATCAACTCACAATGTTATTCTCAGCTCAACATGGTATATAAGTACATTCTACTTTCTGAAATAAACTGATAAATGAAACGGATAAATGGCATGGCCCACCTGATGGATATTTCATGAACTTTCAGAATCGAAAAATGATTCAAAGAATACTTGTTTGATTGTGTAATGGTTCATTCGATATTATAGAAGAAATCATTGAGAATAAGATCAAGTGAGCTTTTCGAAGTACGAAATGCGGAATTTACACCCTCTTGACAATCATAATACATATTCTCAAAGATTTCGCAAGAAACATTACAAGAAAAAAATGAGAGATTTCATCAAGAGCATATTCTGATCCGCTGATGTAGATGGCATAGGTATATTTTCTTCAACGGAAGAAAGGAATGCTCGAATGCTTGTTGACAAAACGCTATATCCCTATAATTTGAGATAGACATAGAGAAATCATTTAGTTAGCTTAGAGCTTACATACATAAGAAACCCTACAAGAATATTGTAAAAGTAATTCTCACTGTTCGGAACAAAGAAAATATGTAGAAGAAAAAGCAATGAAAGTCCCAAAGTCTGTCGATCACAGGCCATCATCAGACACAAAAATGATGTATTCAGAAGTACCTAAGAGATAATTATGGTCATTGTTGAGGAGTCAAAAATGAGTCAAAGAATCGATATACTAACCTCAGCAATACATATCAAGAGTAAATTAAATCAAAAACCTAAGTCGAATTCCAAAACAATATCAGTCCTTAATTTAAAATAGGTTCAAATCTGGAGAAAGTCCAGTAAAACCAGGTCAGCATTATATTATTGAAGAAGGACATTGACACAATTTCAAACAATTATCTCACGTGAGATTCATCAGGTTATGCAAAATGCAAATAGAAGCTACGACGGAATTCGAAGAGCCAGAAACATCATAAATCACATGAAAAGTAAATCATGGCACAGAACAAGTGACACAAGTCAATGTCAATAACACAGGACATACAAATAAAAATTAAATTAAGTGATGACACAAAATCATGACAACGACGAGTGACACCAGTCAATGTCAAATATCATAAAACTAAGTGGATATTGACAAGAACCAAATGAAAATTCAGAAAGCAATTGGAACAAGAGACTGGGAGAAGAACAACAATGGACCAATATGGGTTATAATATGTTTTGATGCTAATCATTGGAATTATGACACCATCACAAATTTTGATTTGTATGTGAATGTCTCTAGGAGTTCTTGAAAAGGAAGTTTCTAGTATATTTGGATAGTAGTTGATAACCTACTCTTTCTTCCTAACATGATTTGTTTGCTCTCTAGAGATTATACAGGGTTATTGGTAACTCGATACATATCAATATCAAGAAACAACGTAATTTTTTATTCAAGCATATCGAACATGGTGAGACTCAACTCTTCTTCATCCTATACAGGGTGTCCGAAAAGGGCATGTCATAAATGATAGAGTGAGCCAAAATAATGTTAGTACCTACTTCATATAAAAAAAATGTCTATTGCAATTCGTTACAGAGCTATTGACCTTGAAAGTTTCTGCAAGTCAATACATATGTATACTCATCATTACTTCCATGGTGTTACCAAAGTATTAAAAACTGTCGAAAGAATGTGATTTCAATTATGACAATGACTGCTTGAATAAATATAGTTATTACCTTTGAAATGGTTGGGATGTATACTGTTGAAATGCGATTATCTCTAGAACGGTACAAGATATCGATTGAAATGAAGTATATTATTTTTGTAGGAACAAGATCAAGAAATCTATCGGTGGAAACAGAATGTCAAATTTGTAACCTCTGTCAAAAATGACCTAAACGGAAAAAAATCGTCCCATCCTAAAACATAATCACTGAACAGCCGTTTACATATCGAAAGGAGCATTATAATGAGTTAATTCACTTGCCCAAATATCATTGATACCATGGCAACCGTTTGAAAATAATACATGAAATATATTTCTTCTATATTCAAACTCTCAAGGTCAATAACTCCCTAACGAAGTGCGTTAGAATTTTTTTGTATGTGAAGTACTGACATTATTTTGGCTGACTTTACCAGCCCTATCATTCACGACATGACCTTTCCAGACACCCATACATTGCTAAAACCAAACTTGAGTGAAATGTTAGGGAAAAATTCAAGTGAACAGAAAAGTATCCTAACGAGACTGAATATCTTGTTTCAGGTAAAATTCATCAAGATGACGAAGCTAATCCATGTGGACATCGATGAGACAGTCCAGGACCACAGGAACCTGTTGGACTGGTCCAAAACAAATGAAACCGGTGGAGCTCAGCACCATCTGCCGATCAACATGCGTTTCAACGACGGACACAGGCTCTCTATAACAGTGTACAGTGTGTTGATGGTGTTTTCGGCAGTTGCGAACATAACGGTGCTAGTGTTGTTGGTGAAAAGACGAAAAAAGAGTCCATCGAGGATCAACATGATGCTGATGCATTTATCTATAGCTGATTTGCTGGTGAGATAGAGGTTGGATGGTTGAGAAGTATAACTTGAAAAATAATTTCGTTGACAAAGTTTCTGCAAATACACTATTTCCGAAAATTACTATATAAGGTGTTAGACTGGACTCCAAATGCATTTGAAAGTTTGCCAGCATTGTCATTGAATTGCTCATTGGTTACTGATTCAATTACGACACAATCAATAGGATATTTCAATGCCTCAACGTCATAATCACATTGCTTTTTTCTGCCGTCCTGCCTTCTTCTTATCAGGCTTCTATACAAACAGTTACCTAAATAAGCATACTTTTGGGAATTATTCCATGTCAATCGAAGCACAAAACTTACACTGGAGAGAAAATATATCTTTCAATGTCCACTCAATAGCCTCTCAATTTTAGTCTACGCCCGATTACTTCGAAAATTCACTCAACTGCAATTAAAATGGTAATTTGTGCACTAATCCAATCAAATTTGTTATAAACATTGTCACTCAAAGAAATTATTCACAGGGTACCAGCAAGTTCTAATGTGAATTCCCAATATTGCATTGGTTATGGCTATTTGAAAGTTGAACTATGTAACAATAATAATTGCATTCATTTATGAGGTCATTCTTCTTCGTTATGTTGGCCTCTTCCGGCCTCAGGGAATCCACCCTCATTGATTATAGATGCTGGTTTTTATCATCATCATCTCATCAAGCAACTTGCATTTTCTGACACAGAACCTCTCGTAGGTATCTGACTTCTGCCTGATGATTTCATATAACTGTGAAAATAAAAATTAATTATCGTAATGTAAGCTATTCCTGCATAATCCAGAATCCTAATTACTTTATTGTAGACGCTATATAGAAAAATCCCATTTTTGTACAGAATTCGATGTTTCAAATCAGACTTGAGAATGTTACTCCATGATTAGGTCATTTTGTTTCAGCTGATTTGAAAACTTGATTCGACATGAAATTATCCAGAACGAATTTGTTTCTGTTTGACAAGTAACGTGTTCTTTTTATTCAATCGACAACTCAGATCCGTCTCACCTCCTTCTAATTCAATTGATCTCAGTAGTGAGAATGTAACAAGGTAAAAAGAATATTGCTAATCTTAATAAGTTTCGTTAGACCATGTCGAATTATCTTTTTTATACTAAATTCATCAAATTCTACTTGTGAAAAACTTCTCCGCACGGCTCGACTTAGTATTCCGAAGCCGTTTATCATCATTGAAAAATGAGATCAAACGCGGTGCATCTTTGAGTTTACTCTGTCTCTGTTGACAATATTAGATGGCTCTATTTCTCCACGTCATGTGGAAGATGATAAATCTGATGTCGCCGACAAAACTTTTATGTGGAGTAATGCCATCGTGAGGTGAATTTTTGTTAGGATATTGATGGTGAAATGTCTCATTTAGGTTTGAGTTCGAAATCTTTTAAATCATTTTCGGATACCTATTATATACACATTGAGAATTCGCATTCTCTATGTGATAAAATGATCAATTCTTTCTAGGATCATTCAACAGAAAATAACTACGTTCCTAGATTTATGCCATGACGAACATTGATTCGCAACGATCCTAATCTCAGTCGCCTATAGATTTTTTTTAAACAGCTATTATGTTTTATAGGTAACGTTCCTCATGATGCCTTTGGAAATAGCGTGGGCTTCAACTGTGCAGTGGAAAGCTGGTGATGCCATGTGCAGAATAATGATGTTCTTCAGGACATTCGGACTTTATTTGTCCAGCTTTGTACTCATATGTATAAGTGTCGATAGGCAAGTATTGGATTATTCTTATTCGTAGAGTTTTCGTACGTCTTTTGCGAATTTCTGTATCTGTAATGGTTGCTTCTTCCGAGTCACTTCCCACATTGATCTCTCGTAAAAACAGGGTTACATATGAAAAATAATAAAAATCACATCAGTTTTCTCTTGGAGCGCACGAAATGGAGTACCTATTATGTTGGTGAGATAAATATCGTGCGTATCTAGGAAGGGTCGTGAGAGAATATAGTTATAGGATTTTTTTCCAATTTTTGGAAATTATAATTTCTTGGGAATACTTCATTTGATCATATTCTGGGCCCCAGAAATTGGAAGTACACCATTCGATTCAGCTTCTTGTGCACTTTCCAAATATGTAAGCGAATTTTGAAAACTCTAGAATACAGAGTATTTTTTTTGGGACCAAGAATATGGATTTTATTCGTGACTGATAGGTGAGTCACTTGGGTAGAACGGGGAGGACTTGTGTACCGAATTTCATACTCAATTTAATCCATTTTTACCCTTCCAAATGCATAAAATCTTGAATTCAAAACCAGAAATTCTTTAGTGAACTAGCATGCGAGGGTATCAAAAGTTCACCATTCGATTCAGCTTTTTGTGCACTTTCCAAACATTTAAGCGCATTTCGGAAATTCTATTCTAATTTTTTGGGGTCAAATAATATAATCAATTCTCATTACTTCGGATCTGGATTTTTCTCGTGCCCGATAGGTGAGTCATTTGGGTAGGAGAAGAAGGAATAGTGTATATACCAAATTCCAAGAGAATATACTAGGAGGTGCGTAAGTTTTATTACTCACAAAGAATTGAACAAATTTAATAAATCACTCTATATATCCTGGATTCAGATTCAGAACCACTTTGATGAGCTCTACCCACCGTAGGAATTTTTCCGTTTCTCAATGGGACCCCGCACATTCAGTACGGAAAATGGCTTCCGGCTAATTTTTATGAAAATTTGATATGTTTCAGATAAGTAGATGATTATGTTCTCATGAGATCAAAATTATGTTGAACAATTTGACTGCCTGGAACTAGACATTCTGTACATTGCTCGACATAAACGATTTTTTTCTCATACTTCTAAAAGTTAAGGAATTAATACGTCACCCTAGCCTAGCAGAATGATATAGGTGATGAATATTTTTTATAAGTTCACCCAGTCCGAGATATTCATAATACCACTGGAATGCATTTTCACCGAGCTATTCAATGAGGTATCACAAGTAGGGGCTACTATTGAAATGATATGCGTTGGGGTGGTTGTGACTCAGGGGATTGGTGGGGGTATTTCATGGGACATTTCATTTTCCACTTGATATATTATATGAACAGTTATGAACCATTCGTGATATGTATCTCATTTTGTACATGAGTTACATCAATGCTAAGCTATCAAATTGTCTTCACTCTATATATGGCAACCCGGACATTATATCAGAGGAAATCATATGAATCCTTATGTTGATGATCGAGATCCATAGTGTGTCAAATAATTGGCCGATTCTAGCCAGTGATTGAGTAAAAATCGAAAGTCTTATATTTTCAATATTTTTCTATTCCCATGAATATTAGCTTGTCATGATGGAATACAATACCCTGTATACCTTGTATGTGATATTATTATCTATCCAAATAGAGGAATTCATGAGGTAGAAATTAGACGTGGAGCGTATATTTCTACTGAAGATTTATCACTTAGACTTAGAGCACATAATTCAAATCGATGCAAAATATTCTAAACAGCCAAAATCAAATGATTGACACCCTGTAGATCGAAAACTGGTCATAGGATCGATCTGTGAATTGGACTGTGTGATAAGGACGCTAATATCTGAAACATATCAAATTTTTATAAAGAGTAGCCGTAAGCCATTTTCCGTACTAAATGTGCGGGGTCCTTTGCTCTTTTACGCGTAATATAGACGAATTAAAAACACCCCCAAAGAGCTTGCTGATGAAAGCGAGGAATGATGATTTTATTTACAACTTGATGGTTTCAATGAGCGCGTCATGTGCCATCAGGATGGACTATAAGTCCTATTCTTGGCGAATGTCGGTGAAGAGTTTTGATGTCAGATGCTGCCACGATCTCTTTAAATTCTCATTAGTGCATGAGTGGAGAATAAAAGACTGGAGAAACTTTCACCGAGCCAAGCATCACGGCGGACTTAGTATTACTCGAAGTGATCATAAAATTATACTACCCTTACCTATCATTAGTTTTATTTTTCTTTCTAGAGCGAACAGGTCACTTGCCCCTTCCCATAATCCTCAATTTGTGAATCAGTTCTCTCGAAATAATTCCACTACTTACTCATGAAATGAAGAAAACATTATGTTTCTCAAAATGAAACTATTCATTCATATTTTTTCTAAAAAAAAATATTTTCGATCTGGATGTTGCATCAGCAAGCTCATTTCTTCCTGTTCAAGATACATTGCTCGAAATGTTCCAGTTATCATACACCAAGTGTTCAAAAAAAGTTTCCACATATTTTTTTTTCTTCATCAAGTCGATATCTCTTCATGGTTTCGGAAGCATTGCTAATTCTCATACAAGATGTGGAATTGTGAGTGATTTCAATCCCAAAGATTACCTCGTATATATATAATTTGAAAAATTGCGGGCGATATTTCAACCATCTGCTCTACGGTAAAGCATTATCCGAATCGAGTTGAATGGGCCTGTTTCAATGAAAAATTCGATTTCATTACTTTGAAGTACTAACCCGAAATGTGTACTGACTTTTGATAATTATTATACAGGGTGAGTTTTTCTCACAATAAATCAACACAGGAAAAAATTATATCACGTTCCTGATATTGATTTCGTTCAGAGAAGGCTGCTTATTGAAGCCTTTAAGTTCAAGTCATGTACCAAATTTGAACCCAATCGAGTAATCCCTGTATTCAACATGGCAGATTGAATTTTTGTCAAAGTCCACAAATCACACTATATATCAGTAACGAAGCGGTTTTGGACATTTTATATAGAATTTTGCAATCATATTGGTGTTCCATATAACCCCATTAGTTTTGTTGGTTTTATCTCTGGACACCCTGTATAGAATTGGAATATCGAAATTTCAAATCCTGTATCGAGAAGATCAATTTTTCCATCATTTCCAGATATTGACTTGGAGAATTAAAATTACTGTTTTCGGTAATATAAAAAGACCTTAGGAGTTAGGGAACAACTTCGCCATCTTGTTATTGTAACACTTCATTGGTTACTTTATTTGTTCCAATAGAAGAACGTTGATCAGTTTTTTGGCAAAAGATCTTGACATACTGTAATTAGACTAAAAATCGTTATTAGTCACTATTTTTTTCAACTTCACTTCCACAATAATGGATATTACGAACACAATACAGAATATTATAATGTCCTTGTTTCAGATTTTATGCAGTCCTCAAACCTCTTCATTTTGGTGATAGGAGGGAAAGGCTCATGTTAGTTGGTGCATGGATGATGGCATGTTTATGCAGTTTACCACAGGTAGTTGATACACATGTAGATAAAATGGCATGCATACCAGATTTCCAATGATTTCATGATAGTTAGCCAGTCGACCTCTACTTGCGCTTTGCCGTATTTCCAGTTTGACCGGAAATGACGCCAAGTATCTATCGATTTTTAAATGGGACATCACCAATATGTCAATTCATTTCGATCGAGAATAACATTCCAATCATTCCATTTGAGAAAATCAAGGTAACTGGAAAAACTCAACTGTAACGTCATGAGCCTCAAAGTCGTATTTTTTCCATATGACTTGATCAAGAATGATAGTTATTTATTATACAAGGGAAAAAAGTAGTAGATTTTAGATCCAGGTTGTGTTGTCTCCCGACGCATATAGCGGAGGGAGACAAAAAACCGTGAGCTAAAATCCAATATTTTTCCCGTATATAATACTTACACTATTTTTTTCTGTGACAGGAGAAAGGACGAATCAATATTGAGACGATATTACATTATTTTGAAATCTGAAAATTATCGACGTGAAATTTTAAGTTTTTAACAGTAGGGACACCTGCGTTGTAGGCATCTTTATCATTCTTTTGAAGTAATCAAATATCTGATGTCACTTCTGTCAGTCTAATTCTGTGATTTGATTTCACAAAAAATGCGAATTAAGTGGTTGTTTAGTAATAGGTATACGTAACCGCGGAGTCGAATGGAAGATAAAAGGACTTGCAGTTCTTTCTCGGAGATGCCAATTCATACTTTTTTCTTGAAATTTCCGGAAACAAATCCAACTTTCGCAGCTTTTTCCATTATCTCTGTCTCTGGCGGTGTATTTATCAAAATCGTCAGATCTCGGTATATACATCATATTATTAATTATGTAATAATATTTGATGGAAAATGCGATTTCTATCAAAAGCACTAATGAGAACTACTCTAAAGAATTTAAAAAACTTCTTCTGACAGTTGTGACAACTATTCAAAGCTGAACAGCAGCCAATTAAGTTTTGGTCGATTTTTGTTGATTCTCCATGGAAATGTACGTGGTGTTGGCAAAGTGTAGTGAGAAAAAATATTTCTCACAGTATGAGCAATACATGGTTTTGAAACTAAGTAAGCAATGAGAAATACGCTTAGTGGTGCCCGCGAGAGTCTCGTTTTCGAGAGTCTCGCATGGTCTCGTCTCGTTTTCGAGACAAGACTCGAGACGAGACTCGGACAAGACGAGACAAGACTTTTATTGGTCTCGTCTCGAGTCTCGTGCAAGTCTTCTCGTGTCTCGTGCGAGAGTCTCACAGGTAAATATTTCTGCGTGCCGACTGCAGACTTGAGAATTTCATTCATAATATAACATATTTAGAAAGAATTGAGACTATTGAGCACAGATAGACAAAACATTTCATTCATAAATACTTTAAAAACACAATCCATGATTATTGTGTAATGTGTGAAACGAAAACGGACTATTCTCTCTCTAATGGCGGAATAATGTTGGATTAAAGTTTTTGTTTTGTTTATTCGTTTATAATATACGTGTCACT